ATTATTATTATTATTATTATTATTATTATTATTATTATTATTATTATCAGTTCTGAGTTTGGCACGCCTTTAGGACCTTTTAATTTGGATTGGAACAGATTTGACTACACATATTCTGAGGGTTTAAAACAACATTTAAGCAAAATTGCATTGTTTAGATCAGTGGCAATTTTAGCCTCTTTTGGGGGTGCTCAAGCGCCCCTACATTTTAACTCAGCACCCCTGAAAAATAAAGTAAAAAAAAAACTTTTTTGGGTGCTGGGTTTGGGTTCTCTTTATTGCATTAATGATTCAATGCAACAAAACAAACAAATGTAAAAGGTAACAGATCATTGTGATACTTGGTTTCTTTATATAATGACTTTAACTTCTGGATGTCCGTCCCCTGAGCTGCTGACTCTCAGTAACTGTGGCCCCTGAGCAGTTTAGATGAACAGCCCTGGTCTATAACCTTCAGAAACACTTAAACATAAACGCAAACTTGTCTTTTCAACTCTAGTTTATTAAAATCCCTGAAATTGTTCAATAATTCCACTTAATAAAAATAGTTCAAATGGACTAAAAACTCTAAAGAATGACATTCCTGCCCACAATAAGTGTATGTAAACTTCTGACTTCTGTTTTTTCCTAGAGGATCCAAAATGATCATGATTTAAAATCCAAACTTCTCTTTTTGCTGTAGAGGCGAGTTGATGTTACTTAAGGATTCATCATTCATTCAACTTTTATTTATACAGGTTAGTCTCATTGAGCCTCAATCAGAAATGGTCAATCAGTGGTGTTACCTCCAAGTGTGTTTTAAACGTTTCTTTTCAACAATAATTGTTTTCTGATTGTTTATGATGAGAGTCAAATAAAACTAATCACTCCAATAATTTGCTTCAGCTTTTTTTCCTTGAAGACAAGAACGTATCAGTGCCAGTAAGCATGTGTACAACCCCACAGGAGCAGGCTTACCAGTAATTCAGTCAAGTCCAAGGCTTTCTCCTTCTGTCCCAGTTTGGTGCAGCATCGGGCCATTCCCTCCAGAACATCTCTCCTGATGCTCAGGTTGTTGTCTGGGATCCACTGCAGGCAGCTTCTGTACGCCTCCAAAGCTCTCTGAGCCACAAACACAAAGGTTTCAGCACGAAGCAGATTAAAGTGGAACAAAACTACAGCAAAACAAGCCGACAGCAAGAGATGGAAATAAAACCAACACTTAATCTGGATCGGGACTCGGAGAACTTCTGTTTGTAATGGTGGTACTGATGTATCATCATCATCATCAGTTTAGCCTAGTGCCGTGGGGACAGATCAAACAGCATGCACCAGCAACCTCCACCTTGGCTGGTCTCCAGCAGGACAAGTGAGTGAAAATGGAGCCCTGTTCATGTTCATAGTGACCGGGGGGGGGGGGGGGGTCGCCCCCTTTGGTGAGTTCCTTCATCTTTCATTTGGAGGATGTTGGACAGAGTTCCCTTGGCACTAAATACATGAACAAACAACTTTAATTTATTCTTGATCTTGGTTAGAAAGAAGTCATGATCTCCAATGAGGACGTGGACTCTGGCGGACCTGAACACTTGTAGCGTGGGAGGACCAGTGGACCTGAAGCAGGAGTTGGTAGCAGGTCAAAAAAACAACGAAGGGTGCCCTTCGCTCCAACATTTTGGATTTTGTTTGCTCGTGTTCGGACAGAAAAGGGTGTTTTTAAATAATGTTATTTTGTAGTTTCTGCATTTTATAATTGTTTAAATTTCACTTTTTGTCCAGGTCCCTCTTGCAAACAAGATGTCACGAGCAACTGGGCTTTTAATCTAGTTAAATTAAGGAAACTAGGTTGTTTTAAATATGCATATTTTTTCTCTATCTCAGCATTCAGAGTCCAGGTTTCTGCAGCACAGACAAAGACTGATGACAAGTGAACAGACAAATCTACCTTTGGTAGCCAGGGACATTGACCTATCCTTCCAAACAAGTCTGAGTCCTGCTACAGTACCGGCAGTTTTGGATTTTCTTATATTGATCTCTTTAACAAAGCTGCCCTCTGACAAGATTCATGTGTTCTCTATGACGGGCTCCTGTTTGGGTTTTATTAAGACTAATCTCCAAGATGATCACGCAGAGTCTAGGCTTTCTGCTTGACTGACCATCATTGGTGGAACCTCTGTAAAGGTCTATGCAACTGGTAGTATAGGCATTGAAAAAGACACTTTACTTCAGCTTTTTACAATTTACAACACAGGAGTGAAGAGTTTGTTCAGATACAGTAGATTTGTTTAATGCCCGCAGGTCAGTCTGTTTAAGTTTTAAAAAAAGGTTACAGTGAGTTACGGCTGAATGCGTTTCTGGTTGATCATATAGTGTGATAAAAATATTATTGTTCAATATATTATAGATTAAGTCCATATCAGCCCTGTCTGTTTATCCTGATTCAGCAGAAATAGTTTCGGTACATTAGTGAGAAAAAACACCTGAAATGTCAGTTGTCAGTGAACTCAAAGGTTTTGCTTTCCATCAGTTTCTGTCGGGTCATTGACTTGAGTTGACCTTTTAAGTCCAGTCAAAAATTTTCGAAATATATTTTATTTGATTCTGTATTTCATTATTTGCATCATTTATTCTGTTCCTGTAGGAACTGGTCCTTTCTAACCCATTCCTAATGGATGGATTTTTTTTTTTTTTTGTAAAGTGACTGAGAGGTTTGAAAGGTGCCTTTTAATAAAAATCATCATAATTATAATTAAAGAAAAGTGATGAATTAATTCACCTGATAGTTCCCTCGTCTCAGCGCCAAGTCACCTCTGAACTTAAACACTTTCTGTTTCTCCAAAGAATCCTCTGAATCTAAAGCGGTGCTCTCATAGAACCACTGCAGGAAAAAAACAATTAATTTAAACACAAAATGGAGCAGAGGGTAATGTGTCATGAAATCACTGAGTGAATGCAATGCAGCAGTGAGGGAGGGTTAAATAAAAAAAGGCATGTAAACTGATTTAAATCAAATAAACAGCAGCAGTTTCACATGCCTGTCTCTTTACATTCTGTGATGTATAATTTAGAATAAAGCTGTTGTTACTGGGTTTTGTTCGTCACATTATTAATCAAACATTAATATACAGTTTCATTCAAGGCATATGGGTTACAGGTTGATGTTAAAAAGAGACAAACACTGAAAATAAAACCTTTTCCTCTGGATGAGTCTTACCTCTGGTTCACACAGTTTGGCGGTAAAAGACGACAGAGACTCACAAACTCGACCTCTGGGCTCCGAAAACACAGAGTCATCAAATGTGCTTCCGAATATCTCCATCCGGAACAAAAATATCAGCAACTCTTCAGATTACACAAGAAAATGGATCCAAATACCTTCACAATATCTGTTCTGTGTTTGTTGACATATGGCGCTACGGTCCGTCACTTACATCTCACTTTGAAGAACGAGTGATTAAATTAATAGTTCCGGGAAGAAAGGTTCCGCTTCACAACAAGAGACCAGGACAGAACATGTACTGAGGTTACCTCAGTGAACAACTAACTCTATAAAAATAAATTTTAATAACGTCCTGATGCATGCTCAAGGTAAATAACAGATGTGCTTCTAAAATGGCCTTTTGTTGTTATTTCCGTTATTCTATAGTTAAAATGTCCTGATGCATGCTCAATAATCCAGAGAAAAATAAAAAAAAGTTAAGTCTGGTCCTCTGGACATTCAATAAACAAAACAAAGCAAAAATGTAGAAACGTTTCGTCTCTCATCCGAGAGACTTCCTCAGTCTGAGGAGCTGTATTCAGCTCAGTCTCTTAAATAGCACCTTCTCAGAGTGGATCAACCAGTCTTGCTGCTGACAACCAAAACCAGCTGATCACATGCTCAAGAAGGACCATCAGCCTAACAATGGATCATTAGCACACTGATGGCTGTTTACTGTTCACAGAGGGCTGAGTGATACTAGCAATCACAGCATTGTAAGAGGGGGACAGTTGAACCCGGAGGCCTCCACCCCTGTTTAATGATGGACGATTTCTTTTCACAAAGATGGCCTCCTTTACTCCTTTTTAAAAAATTATTGTTAAATAATTAACAGTAAAACATTACACAGCAGTTATCAATATACATTCAAGGAAGAACAAAAGCCAGGGGTGTCATTCAAATAAACACATTAAATAAAGAGCACAAATCCAACATTTTTATACCTTTCTTGCTGATTGAGTCTCGAATGGTTACAATGTACTGTTCAGACTCCATGTAACAAAGAACGATATATCATAAATTTCATCATACTTTTAGGGAAATTTTATAAACACAAATCAAAGGTTGGTCTCCTTTACTCCTCTCTCAAACCATCGTTCCTCTCTGTCCAGGATGTGAACATCTTCATCCCTGAAAGAGTGACCGCTGGCCTGGAGATGAGTGTAGACCGCAGAGTCCTGGCCTGATGATGTTGATCTTCTGTGCTGGGCCATCCTTTTGGCCAGTGGCTGTTTTGTTTCCCCGATGTAAGACTGATCACAGCCCTCCTGACACTGAACAGCATACACAACATTACTCTGTTTGTGCCGGGGGACTGGATCTTTGGGATGAACCAGTCTTTGCCGTAATGTATTTTGGGGTTTAAAAGCCACTGGGACGTTATGTTTAGAAAATAAACGTCTCAGTTTCTCTGATACTCCCTCAACATATGGAATGACCACTGGTCTGAGTCTGGGTTCCTCCTTTTCACCTGATGGCTGACTGGAGTCCTGTTTGGGTTTCTTCTCTGCTTTCAGGAAGGCCCAGTTAGGATATCCACATTGCTCTAGAGCCTGTTTTGTGTGGGATTTCTCCTTCTGCCTGGCTCCTGAGCTAGTGGGGACGCTGTCTGCTCTGTGATACAGAGTCCTGATGACTCCTAACTTGTGCTCCAAAGGGTGATGGGAGTCAAACTGCAAATACTGGTCTATGTGGGTGGGTTTGCGGTACACCTCGGTTTGTAAATGTCCATCTGTGATCAGTCTTACATGGGAGAATCTAAACAGCCACTGGCCAAAAGGATGGCCCAGCACAGAAGATCAACATCATCAGGCCAGGACTCTGCAGTCTACACTCATCTCCAGGTCAGAGGTCACTCTTTCAGGGATGAAGATGTTCACATCCTGGACAGAGAGGAACGATGGTTTGAGAGAGGAGTAAAGGAGGCCATCTTTGTGAAAAGAAACCGTCCATCGTTAAACATGGGTGGAGGCCTCCGGGTTCAACTGTCCCCCTCTTACAATGCTGTGATTGCTAGTATCACTCAGCCCTCTGTGAACAGTAAACAGCCATCAGTGTGCTAATGACCCATTGTTAGGCTGATGGTCCTTCTTGAGCATGTGATCAGCTGGTTTTGGTTGTCAGCAGCAAAACTGGTTGATCCACTCTGAGAAGGTGCTATTTAAGAGACTGAGCTGAAAACAGCACCTCAGACTGAGGAAGTCTCTCGGATGAGAGACGAAACGTTTCTAGATTTTTTTGCTTTGTTTTGTTAATTGAATGTCCAGAGGACCAGATTTAACTTTTTTTGATATTTTGGATAAAGTTCCTCTAAAGTTATGCTTCATTGCTTTAAGTTCAAGGCACAAATCAACAGACATGTTCCTGTTTTTAGTATTTTACACCGTTTTATAATTTAGCATGTTTTTTTAATTTTGTTTTATATCACTTCTTTTATTTACTTTTGTAAATACATTTTACAAAGTAAAATGTACTTTGTACTTTTCTTCTCCACTTTAAGAACTGGAACTTTTTTGTGTGTTTATTTGTGTATCACAGATATATAAGTAGTCCCTCTATCATCTTTACCATGACTCCACTTTGTGTCAGAGGTTGGTGGTGGCTCAGCCTCTTCATCACAGCATCAAATAATGTGGAAGACTGTCCATTGAAGGGCTCACAGTGAAATTTGTTTAATGATCTGTTCATCTAAAATCTGTGCTTGACCAAGGAGTCGTTCATCAGGCAGGCTGTGAAGAAAAATCTATCTACAAATACAACTTAAAATGACCTTTTTCACAAGTTGCATGTTTTTAAATTACTGGTTTTTTTTTTTACTGGTTGAAATGTTCATTTATGATGCCTGTATAAAAAGAAAAACAAAATTAATATTTATTTTAAAATAATTACATCTAGTTTGAAAACTAGTGAGAAAAAGAAGCCAAGTGTAAGAAAACAAACATGAGTCAAAATAAAAGTGTTACTGAGTATTACGTAAAAAAAAAAATACAAGGACATCTGATAAAATATAAGAAAAAAACGAGCAGCTCAAAACTAATTACAGTTTGTTTATTTTGACATATTTACACAAATTGACTTTAACAAACTAGTTTCACTGCCAATTGAAAAATAGGTTAATCAAAATATTACAAGTTCATGTTTCTGAATAAATGTAAAATTACATATTACAAGTAAAGACATTAAAAAAATGCAGACATGTTTCAACATTGTCTCAGTAGTTATAACAAATGTGTGCAACATAGATTCAAAAGAAAAATGAATGAAACATCCTTCTTAAACATAAGAAAAACTACAAAAATAGAAAACGTACGTAATCATCTAAAAATGGAAGACTGTTCCAAAACATTTTACTTAAATACAATATATTACTGGAGATATTGTTGAAAGATGAAAACCTCATTTACTTCTACTAAACTTGAAAGTTTAAACCAAATAAAGAAATATTTAGTATGCACAGATGAAATTAAACTTTTCATAGTCAGACTTGCTGAACCACAGATGTCCTTGTGTCTGCATGGCACCACTCATGGCACAGTCTTCTATTTTACTGCTCTGATCCCAACGCTCAAACTCTACAGCATAGTCCTCCACCCAGAACCAGAACTGCAGGGTGCAGGTGTAGTGAAGGCCGAGCCACACGAAGGGACTGTTGGCCTTCTCGGCCTCCAGCTCAGCGAAGGCCTGAGTCTGTTCATCAAGGATGGAGGCCAGATCTCTGTGATGATCTCTGCAGTGGTACAGGGCGTCCTCCCATGTCTGGTTTGTCTTGATCAGTTTAAACGGGGATTCTTGAAGTGACAGTGAGAAAAAAAAAGCATTTCAGTAAATATATATTTATGTGTGTATATATATATATATATATATATATATATATATATATATATATATATACAGTATATGTGTGTGTGTGTGTGTGTGTGTGTGTGTATATATACTGTTTATAAACACACGCGCACACACGTTCTTGCATTTCTGTCTTGTGGAGACTTTGCAGAGACTTCCATTTATTTCTATAGCCTAACCCTAACCCATCCGCAATTCACACCTTAGTCCTAACCCCCAACGAGACTTATCCTTCTGGGGACCAGGCTTTGGTCCCCACAATGTAAGCTGAAACAAAAATGCACACACACACATTAGTGCTTGAAAGTTTGTGAACCCTTTAAAATTTTCTATATTTCTGCATAAATATGACCTAAAACTTCATCATATTTTCACACAAGTTCACATAAAGTAGTTCAAAAGAACCCAGTTAAACAAACGAGACAAAAATATTATACTTGGTCATTTATTTATTGAGGAAGCGAAATTCAAGGAAGATGCTGTCTGGCCACGCTCTCCCCTGCCACAACCTTACAGTCTCCAATCTCCCTCAGGTTTCCTCTTCTACACAGAATGTAGTCGACCTGCTCCTTCCTCCACTCTTATAGGTCACTCTGTGCTCCTCCCTCTTTTGGAAATAAGTGTTAGCCATTTCCATTCTTTTGACAAAATCCACCACCATCTGTCCATCCTGGTTTCTTTCCTTGACACCAAACCTACCCATCACTTCTCATCCCCTCTGTTTCCTTCACCAACATGTTGGTGACCAACATCTCTCCTCCCTGGGAATACTCTATCACTTCATCCAGATCTTTCCAAAATGTATCTTTCTCCTTCACATCACATCCAACCTGTGGAGCATAACCACTGACAACGTTTAGCATCAGACCTTCTACTTCTTCCTTCAGGCACATCACTCTATCTGACTCTCTTCACCTCTACTACATTCTTTGCCAACGCCTCCTTCAGGACCACCCCTATTTTTCAATGGAATTCAATTTCAATTCAATGACGATGTCTATTTTTGTTGATGATGGAGGTAAGTCCAGTAAATGGTGGATCTATCTATTCTGTCAAAGATGGTAGCCGTAGTACTTTCCTCTGTTGCAGGAGGGACAAAAATAGTTGGAGATTGCGTCCTTGTTGCTGATTCATTCACACAAAGAAATTTTTGGATGATGATCATGAACGTTGTGCCAGACTCCAGAGGGTAATCTGGTGTGCAGAAGTCAAGACAAAGACAACATAATATAAAAGACAGGATCAGGGATTTTTGTTGAATTGTTTTGTAATCTCTTAGAGTTGGATTTAATGTTTTTGTAATGCTTGTGTTCCTAAACCAACAAAGATCACTCCAAGAGCAACATGTGGAACAGTGGGCGAGGTCACAAAGGACCCCAGGGTAACTCCTAACAACTGAAGGTCTCTCTCACATTGACTGATGTTGATGTTCATGAGTCCACCATCAGGAGAACACTGAACAACAATGGTTCATGGCAGGGTTGCAAGGAGGAAGACACTGCTCTCCAAAAACAATATTGCTGCTCACCTGCAGTTTGAAAAAGATCACGAGAACAAGCCAGAAGACTGTTGGAAAAATGTTTTGTAGACGGATGAGGTCAAAATAAAACTTTTTGGTTTAGATGAAAAGTGTCATGTTTAGAGAAAGGAAAACGCTGCATTCCTGCAGAAAAACCTTATCCCATCTGTGAAACATGGTGGTGGTAGTATCATGGTTTGGGTCTGTTTTGCTGCATCTAGTCCAGGACGGCTTGCTATCATTGATGGAACAATGAATTCTGAATTATATCAGATAATTCTAAAGGAAAATGTAGAACATCTGTCCATGAACTGAATCTTAAAGTGGGTCATGCAGCAGGACAATGACTCTAAGCGCACAAGTGGTTCTACCAAAGAATGGCTCAAGAAGAATAAAGTTCATGTTTTGGAATGGACAAGTCAAAGTCCTGACCTTAATCCAATCCAGATGTTGTGGAAGGACCTGAAGCAGCTGTTAATACGAGGAAACCACCAACATCCAGAGTTGAAGCTGTTCTGTACGGAGGAATGGGCTAAAGTTCCTCCAAGCAGGTGAGCAGGACTGATCAACAGTTACCAGAAACATTTAGTTCAAGTTATTGATGCACATGGGGGGGGGGGGGGGGGGTGTCACACTACATACTGAAAGCAAAGGATCACATATGTTTACCACAGATATGTAATATTGGATCATTTTCCTCAATAAATAAGTGACCAAGTGTAATATTTCTGTCTCATTTGTTTAACTGGGTTCTCTTCTACTTTTAAGACTTGTGTGAAAACCTGATGATGTTTTAGGTCATATTTATGCAGAAATATAGAAAATTATAAAGAGTTCACAAACTTTCAAGCACCACAATCCTGTCACTTTGACCTCACATCAGTCTCGCATGCCACCCGGTCCTCCCTGTGTTTTCTCTCACTCCTCAACAAACATCAGAGATTTTTGGATGTAATTTTGGCTGCCACGCCAGCATTTTTGTTTTGTTAAAAAAATACATTTATTTTGTTTCCTGAACTCTTCATGCTGTCTGGCTCTAAATCTCCTCATGATTGTGACAATTTTACATGCAATTTCTTGAAAACTAAAATCTACACGGTTTAGTTTGAGTTTCCTCCTAATAACTGCTTGACTTTGTTTTTAGTTGAGGGGTGAAGGTGATCACAGGAAGGGTGACTGAAGACACACACTGCTGGCTGACAACATGACACCTACCTACTTTTGTGCCTGTAATGAAGATTTCACATAAAATCATAAAATGATGTTCTGGCACAATCACAGTGACGTAGCGCCCCTGCACTGGTGTGGGGAATTCATAGACATTGTTTTCAGCTTTCTTGAAGCTTGTGATGTTTTGAACCCTGGAAAAGACAAAAAAAAAGCAAAGTATATTACTGACACGCCACAGAAAGAGCAGAAGCAGCACTGAAGAGGAAAAGACTGGAAATAGTGGCAGGAATATCTTAATAACATTTCTATTTTATGTATTTACTGTAAAAATGAATTCACCTTTATTTAGACAGGTTAATCCCATTGAAAATACCAGTTCTGAAACAAAATCTTTAAGCTTGATCGACTGATTGATTTGTTTGTTTATTTATTTATTCAGTTTTTGTTGCTTTCAGCAAGTTTTAAGATTTACACAAGCATGGTGATACTTGTTTCCTGAAACACAAATTATATTGCTCAGCAAGACACGTTGAAACACTCTGCTTTTTTAGGAAATCATGTTTTCACATGTTTTTTAATGAAAACTTTGAATAAATCCAAACAACTGTTTTAAATATGTCATTTAAGTAGTATAAATGTTTATGATGAAATAGCTTTTAAAAGACAATTATAGATGTACTGTATTACATTAAATTTACTTATGGAAATGTTTTGTAGACCAGTCCAAAAAAAAAAAAAAAGTAAGTTACCAAATCTGCACTATTTGTTCTCAAAAGAATAATTAATGTGGCCTTAAAATTAAAATTTGTGGCCGGCTGCCAGCAGGAACACCTGAAAGGCTGACAATAGGTGCCCTGCTCTGTACTCATGATGGTCCACCGCCCTGCTGGATGCCTGATATTTAGTCCTGACATCTGTCCTGCTCGATCTTCCCCTTTACTTTAATACAGGGGTGTCCAAAGTGTGGCTCGAGGGCCATTTGCGGACCTTGGAATGATTTTGTGCAGCCCACGACTGCAATTAAAGAATGGTATAATTCTGACCCACGACATTGATGCAGATGTAGACCTTCTTTAGATTTAACAGTTATACTCTTTAAATTTGTAGGTTTAAGAGCAAAACAGATTGAAATAATCTTCTCAAAATGAGCGGTGTTAAGTACAATACAAATATTTAACTATAATTAATCCCTTCATACAACAAACCTTCACTGACCTATCAAAAAGTAGAATTTTTAATAATAATTTATAAAACCTGGCTAAATATAACAAGCGTTTTCAAAGAAAATAATTTCAGTTAATTTAATAATCGATAGGGAGAAATTGGACATTTTTGAAGAAACAAAGTGGTATCATGAACATACTTTGATCAACTTTATTGGTGTCTTTTCAAACTTTCCATTAATTTGTTTTAGCGTCTGACAGCTGGATGGTTTTTCAGAACATTGATGAATCTTTTGGACGTCCATGGTCCAAACGGGTGATCGAAGTTCCAAGTTCAAGTTGGGTTTAATTATCATTCGCATCATATATGGAACATGAGGTGAAATGAAATGGTATACACAGGGTCTCAGTTACAGCCAACAATAGCTAAAATATAAATTGTAAAAAGAAACAGTAATAAGGATCTAAGATAAAAACTAAGAAATACACTAAACACTAAGATTTCCACCCCCTTTTTAAAGAGCAGTTACTCATTTTAGGCATTTGTCTCTGAAAATAAACAAAAATGAACGTTCCAAGCACAAGAAAACAAATAATAGACCCCAAAAAATATAATAAATTAAATTCTTAAAATAAAAAAAGGTTAAATTTCATGAGGCTCCTAATGTTCTGGATCTACAAGAATTTAAACTAAACTTTTAACCTTTCTCCCAAAATATTGTTCAAGTTGTTGAGAGTTTAAAAATGAGTGAGGAGGAATCATGCTTTATAATTTTTTCATTTTTTTTAAATTCACATTTTTCTGCCTCGTGAGTTCTTTCATCCAGACAGTTCTGGCCCACATATGAAAATGTTTGGACACCCCTGCTTTAACAAGCAGCAGCAGATTCACTCTATTATTAGCTCCTAAACATCTTCTGAGATGCTGCACTTTTCCATATCTGCATTGTTTACATCCAAAGACTAAAACCAGGCTGACGCAGGTCACTTGAGTTTCCTTCTGGTCTTTGGCAGATTCAGACGAGTGTTTTGTTGTCATTGGGTGCGTACCTGCATTTTAGTATTGCTAATCATTGTAACTGTAAAACTAAAGGAGTAAACTCTTTCAAACTGCACTGTTTGATATAGTTCAAGATGTTTTATTTTATAGTTTGCTATGCAAACCTTTATCAGCATTCCATAACAGCCTTTCTCTAAACTCTTACAGTCCAAATCTTGAATATGTAAATTAATTCATTTCAAGGTAACATGAGGTTCTTACAGTTTGTTGTTGGTTCCGTTGTTCTGTACAGAGTACCCAATGTAGATCTGAGCACGTGATATATTGGTATCAGTATCAGTATCAGTATTTTTGTTGTATATGGAGATACAGAAAATGTTGTAAACACCCTGCAGGTCGACTCTCCACCAGGAGTTAACCAGCTCCTTGGTGTGAGAACATGTTAACGTATTTCCATCATAAGCCCTGTCAGAAGTGAATTTTTCATATTGTGAAGACTGGGATGATGTTTTGTCCTTCAGATTTATTGTTTCTGCGTTGCATTGAGCTGTGGATAAAAAGTGAAAATTACAGAATCAAAGTATTGCCTCTTTGTGCTCTCATACAGTAACATTTCCTCATGACTCATTAAATATTAAATTGATTCAAGCAGAGGAATATAAATTGTTCCTACCTGCTGTCTGAGGCTGAGTTGTGAGCACCTTTCCTGTGAAGTGCCAGAGAAATACTCAAAAAAGTCCTCATTCTTTAGTTTAGTCATATCAGAGTTACGGTCGGTGTGAACACAAGTGTTTGGTAAAACAGTTTAATTATGACGTCATTTCCACACGTCTCTGTCTGATGATGATCTCCAATGGTTGTTTCAGTTTAACAAAATGGGACATGTTAGTTCTGTTGTTCAGTGTGGACACAATCACCATAAAACTGCAGTCTTTCAGTTAGTTTTCTATTATTTTTGGCAACAACCTTTTAAAACATCATCTTACCAAGCCAGATTCATGCACGTCAATGAAACGAGCCACTTACCGATCAAACAGACGAACAACAGACTCCACAGCATCTTTGGAGGAGAAAAACATTCATAACAGTTTAATGAAATGAGTTGCTCTTCATAAATGATCACAGAAAAATAAAGTCAAATCAGAAAAGAAACTTTGCATAAATTCATCTTTCTATATGAAAGAGTTCAGTTTGGATTAAACTGGTTCACTCACCTTGGAAAGATGTTCTTTGTACGTAGCTGATGATGGTGTGATCTCCTCTCTGCCTCAAAGGAACATTTATTTTGATCCCTTATCGCTGCCTTCATGGAAATACATTTCTGTCACATCCTGGTTTAAAGTGAATAGTTTCTTCTGTAAAACATCAAACTTTTACATCTTATTTGCATCTGCTGACAAACAAGACAACAGTTCTTCTCACTTTAGTCGATCTGGTTGCACGATTGTTCTAAGAGATGCAAATACTCAGAGTTTGTCGGTTCTGGTTCTGTGTCACATTTCAACAGGTTTACTGTTGACTGACTTTATTCTAAAATCTGCTAAATGTTTAAGAATTAACTGTGCTGACAATAAAACATTAGCAAAGTTATTTTATGAATAAATATAAAGTTCTTTCTTCGCACAGGTGCAGGACTTCAAGTACTTAGAGTCAGTCTACCGTCCAAGAAAATGGGGAGTGTGGTAAAGAGGTGGAGAGTCCAGGCAAGATGGAGTGGATGGAGAAAGGTTTCATGAGTGATTTGTGACAAAAGGTTGGCAACAAAGGTCAAAGAAAAAGTTTAGAAGAGACAGTGGCATCAACAAAAAAGACAGGAGAAAGAACTGGAAGTGGCAGAAATGAAGATGTTGAGGTTCTCCTTCAGAGTTACATGGATGGATAAGATTAGGAATGAGATCATCAGAGGTACAGCACAGGTTGAGCAACTGGGAGATAATGTTAGAGAGACCAGACTGAGATGGTGTGGACATGTCCAGAGGAGGGACAGTGGATATACTGGTAGAAGGATGTTAGAAATGCAGCTGCCAGGAAAAAACAAAGAGGAGATGTATGGATGCAGTTAGAGAGAACATGGAGGTAGTAGATGACCACTGAAGAGGGAAAAGCCGAAAGAAGAAGAATATAAAGTTCTTTCTGCTGTTAATCCACCTTTATACCATATTTTTAAATATTTAAAAATCATTATCTTAAGAAAAAACTTAAACTGCTTCTTACAAGTGGGTCATTTTTGCTAAACAAAGCTTTCATTTGGACCTGAGGTGGTTGTGCCAAGAACTGAAAAGTTAAAAACAGTAATTGTTTTTGTTTAGAGGTGTGGGAGAGGGACGAGACTGGGAGGATCTGGAAAGAGGGAGATATGGTGAGTATCTGTAGGGTTTCCAATTTTCCCTCCACATGTTTCTGGTTCCAGAGGCAGAGTCAACAAGCCACAGCTGACAGTCATCCCACTAACTACTTCCAGAGCTATAAGAGGCTGCTGACATGCTTCATCCAGTGCTGGAGCATCACCATCATGGTACTTGTGCTCTCGGCCTCCTTGTGAATATTTAATCTTGGTAATACTTACCCTTGTGTTTTCTCTTTATGCCCTGACAGAACCTGGGTTCCCTGCGCCTCCTGTCCTGGATTTTATTGACTGTCCTGTGGATCTTGACACCTGCACTTACCTATGTGCAAGACCTCACCTTTGTGGCTGCTCCTCCACCTTACTTCCACTTGCCTCCATGCTCCGCCCGTGTACCTACCTGTGAACCTCCTGGATTTGGATTCCTACAACACCCCCCTCTGAATTGCCTTACCATCCACTCACTGTAAGGAGAAATATCAAGTTGCTTATTATTCTACCTCTGAAGAGTCTCTGACCTTCTTCCCTTCCAGGGATTTCCAGTGAGTGCCACCTGTAAATGGACTGTTATTGTTCACTGTAAAATAAATCACTTATCATTCTGAGACTGATCCTTCAGTCCGTTCTTCCTGGGTCTACACCTCCGTTGTGACAGTATCTGATAGCCATGAAGAATAATCTTGAGTTTGACAGAAGGTAATGGCTCTAGTGTTGTGCTTTCTCTTTCAGGTTCAAAGGGAGAGGTTGGAGGATTCCAGATCCAGGAAGGACCACAAAGGATTCCAGGATGTAGTTTTCACATTATGGATAGCGACTAAGGCCCTGTGATGGACTGGACACCTGCCCAGGTGTCCCCCTCGCACAGTGACTGCTAGATATGGACACCAGTGACCCCCGTGACCCAAAAAGAAAGAAGCAGGTAAAGATGATGGATGAATGTTTAAATAAAATTGTAAATATTTCTAAATTGATCTATAATTCAAGACAGAACTTGTAAAACTGTGGGGTTTTAAATTAGCATAGTCTGTCTCCCAGCTGGCAGCATGGTGGCGCAACTGGTAGAGCTGCTGCCTCTCAGCGAGCAGGTCCCTGGTTCAAACCCCGGTCCAGGGGCCTTTCTGGGTGGAGTTTGCATGTTCTCTCCATGCATGCGTGGGTTTTCTCCGGGTGCTCTGGTTTCCTCCCACAGACCAAAAACATGCATGTTAGGCTGATTGGTAACTCTAAATTGTCCCTAGGTGTGAGTGAGAGAGTGAATGGTTGTTTGTCTCGTTTGTCTCTATGTGGCCCTGTGATGGACTTGCGACCCGTCCAGGGTGTACCCCGCCCCTCGCACAGTGATTGCTGGACATGGGCACCAGCGACCCCCGTTACCCTAAATGGAACAAGCGGGTAAAGATAATGGATGGATGGATGGATGTCTCCCAGCTTGTTCAGCTTTGACAACTAATTCTCCAATTATCTCTGCAGTACCAGCCATACGTGGTCCTGGTTTTTCTCCAAATCCTTAACAGATCTGTATGTTGTTGAGGTAAACTAATACAAAGGTATTCAGGAAATCCCATAGGGTAAAAACAAACTGAGCCTACAAATGCCAGGAGCGACGGTAAATGGCAAAAAGGCATGAACAGGCACTTAAGTTTCCTTTCGATGTCTTAAAGCACGGCAGTTCAGTGGTTAGCACTGTTGCCTCACAGCAAGAAGGTCTTGGGTTCAATCCCCGTTTGGACCTGGGGTCTTTCTGTGTGGAGTTTGCATGTTCTCGTTCTTGTGTGGGTTTTCTCCAGGTACTCTGGTTTCCTACCACAGGCAAAAAACATGCATGTTAGGCTGCCTTCAGACCCAGACCTCCTTTGCAAAAGAGATCTGTGATCTCATTGAGATTTGCCTGGTTAAATAAATGTTAATAAATAAAATAAAGGCCATATTTTATTTGTTTTCCTTATGGATGCGCACACAAGGCAGTGCGTGTTTTGAAGATCCAGTTTGGAAAACACTTGGGTGGAATGAAGCTGTTCAAACATGAAGTCTGTTTGAAGCGAATGCAGGTATTTATAAAGTGATATGATTTTAAGTTTCTATAGCCATTACAAGAATGGAGAGGGTTTTTTTTTTTTTTCTCAAGAAAGAAAAAAGCCAGCACCTACCAGGGATGTAGACAAACAGATTTCTGCAGCTACATGGTCTTCAGTATACCTCTTGTGTCTCGTACAGACAACTGGAGGGAAGAGGATGGGATTAGTCTGATCAATACTAGTAGCTAAAACCAGTTCATCTAGAGGAAAAACTGTTAGTTGAGATTGAGTGGGTAGCTGCATTTGACTCATCCACTCTCGGGTCCACTAGTGCCTTTAGAGGTAGACTGATGTTGTAATCACATACAGTTATGGAAAGAAGAAACCCAAAGACTGTACCACTTGTATCCCCAGAGCTAGTGGTGGTATTGCAAGTTTCACATTCTGGAGCAAACAGCAATATAGTATCCTGTCTCCACGGTAAAGGCATAATTTAGAGTTAATTTGGTGCTGACATTCCTCTGGTGATAAATGAGCTCAACCAACAGGGTTCACCTGTCCAGAACAAACACTACCGTTGGAGCATATGGTGGTACCAGACCACCCTAGGCCAAAGGTTGATGATAGATTTCATAACTATATCATCAGAGCAGCCCTAAGTCTTGGAACACTCAGGTGAAGAGAGGAGCAGAGCTGTCAACTGGTCACAGAATGGTAATGAGTTGGATCTGGTGCCATGGACAGGTTTGAGACAAACCAGCTACTAGGAGGCACAAGCTAGTGTATCTCTTGTGCCGGTCCCAAGCCCGGGTAAATGGTCAGGAAGTGTAAATGTGTCAGGAAGGGCAAATGTGTCAGGAAGGGCATCTGACATAAAACACTTTTGCCAAAACTATAATGAGAGTTCATCTAAGTGACACCATACCAGATTGGTCGTGGTCCGGGTTAACAATGACCACCACTGGTGCTGTTGACAAACAGGGAGCCGGCGGGAATTGTGATACTTTTAGCTTCTCAAACTGGTGCTAAATGTTGACAAAACTAAAGGGATGTTTTCCAACAGAAAGTCGTGCCAGCAACTCTTCCTCCTATCTCATCCATGCATGGTGTTCCTATTGAGTTTGTAGATTCTTACAAATACTTGGGAATTTTAGTTGATGCACGTCTCTCTTTTAAACCACATATTGAAAACTTGATAAAGAAACTGAAATTAAAATTGGGGTTTCTTTTTCAGAAAAAGATCTTGCTTAACTCTGAATGCCAGCAAATGCCTAACTGCTACTTTTCTACCAGCCAGTGACTATGGTGACATTATTTACATGAATGCCCCTGCCAGCTCCTTGCAGATGTTGGATGCTGTCTACCATGGTGCACTAAGAATCACAACTGGTTGTAACTACCGTACCCATCACTGCACTCTGTACTCATTGGTCAGTTGGTTATCATCATCTACACGTAGGCTCTCACACTGGTTCATTTTCATCTATAAATCCCTCCTTGGTCTGCTACCTTCTTATATCTCCTCCCACATGTCACACCGTCAGTGCAGTTACAACATGCACTCTCGGTCCGTCATTACCTGCAGTGTTCCCTCAGTGCAGACCGAACTTGACAAAAAACATTATTTTGTCAATTTTTTAAAAATATTTCTGATTTACTTCATTTTGTATGTTGCTTTGCGTGTTACCTGTTGTTCTGTCT